GAAGGGACAAACACCCTAGGACAGCTTCTTGGACCCAGCCTTGTAAGTATCCTACATGTAACCTCTTAGAAGAATCATCCCATCAACTTCCCTGCAGGCAACTTGTAGGACACAGTTAGTAGGTACACTCAACCTGGTGTAAATCCTGTCCTGAGGGTGAGGGAAGGCTGACACTTTCCTTAATGACCTGGTCCCTCTGGGTGTGGGAAAGTTGATTAATGTGCTTACTTTTCCTCTCTTGATACAAACCTTCACTCTTGTGATCTTGGCCTGTTTCTACCTAACAATTGCTGCCCAAATCTTCATAGCCATGAGGTCCTGACTTAGTGACAGTCTTCCTTTTCCCTCCTCAGTCTATCCACGTCACCTTCTGAGTTCATGGTCTTACAGTCAGAATTAGGGATATAATTGTGCTGGGTTTGGAGTGGTGTGTTATTTGGCCAGGCCTGTGACTCCATTGACAAACAAACCCCAACCTTGTCCTGATATATGTGTTAAACATGCTGTGTCTTTGCAGCTTCCACTAAGCATTCTCACCCAGCCACAGTCATATGTCATCATGCTGAAGCTCTTATTGAGAAGAGACTAGCAGACATATTTTCCTGGAAGGCAGAATACCTATGCACTGGACATAGGATGTGTCTATTTGGATGCCAGTGTCAGCCATGTTCCTTGTTTCTTGAAGATACTAAAAACTGTGGAATCTTGTTCACAGTTAAAAATATCAACCAATTTAGCTGAGATGATGAAAGAATTACATATAACATGTGGGAAAACTCTGACCATATCTTTTGTCTGTGACTGAAAGGTCAAGAGTCAAGGGGCAACCAACAAATGTAGTGTTTTCAACTAATGTAGGAGTCTGTAGTTGAGTGCTGGTGGTTTGAAACCAGAGCACCAAAAGCTGTTAAATTGGGCCACAGAAGTTTCTAGTGCTTCAGGAACACAGGGACTAAACAAGATCTGGAGGCTATTGTACCTTATACTCCAGCAAAGATCATGAGCCCATTGTTAATTCTGGAGCAGGGAATCCAACTTGCCTAGAACAGCTATAAATACAGCCAATCACACAAAAAGTGAGCTTGTTTAAAGCATCATGAGGTTTTTCTGTGATTTTTTTTTTTTTTTTCTTTTTTGTGGCTTGACTGTGGCTATCGGGGTTTAGAAGCCACAAGTTTTGAGTAACTTCGTGCCTGGAGGCTAGTGTCTGGAATCTTGGTAACTGCACAGCAAAGGAGGAACTGAGCAGGGAAGCTATGTTTCAGTCATTTTTCTCCATGCAAAAGGAATCTGAAATAACTCAAAATATCATCCTGTGACCATATAGGGGTCTTGACTAGGTTCATTTTCACTTCAATTAAAGACTTAAAAGGCAAGAAGAAAATCAGACACAATAGTAACAAAGTTTATTAAAAGTAAAGAATCCCAGAAAACCTCTTCTTTCGTGGAAAACTCAGAAATTAAAAAAGCCAAAGCCCCAGGGGAGGCCTGGATCTTTCACGTGTTCTTGGTGGTCTAGGGCAGGTCCCCCTCCACTCATTTTGGAGTGGTCAAGTTCTACAGCAGGTCAAGCTTCAAGCAGAGTATGTCCAGGGCTACATGATTCCAAGTCCACCTCAGCAGGTCAGTTGAAGGGGCCCAGCTGCAGTTAAAAATAAACCTGCCAAACTTCTGTCTATCATCCTGTTCTTTATGATCTTTTTTCCTATCTCTATTCCTTTCAGGGCATTTATCTATGCTCCTTTTTAGTCTCTCAGTCATAATGTAATAATTTAATGGTTACTGTTGATGTTTGCTTGATGGAAAATTTCAATCTGGTTTAAGCATAAAAGTACTGGGACTCAGAATATAATAACCCAAGGATTGGCCTAACTTCATGCTGAGAATCCAGTTGTAGGGTCAGAATCAAAAGCCAATCACTTTGTTTTCTTTCGTATTTTTGCTCTTCCAAAAACCATGAGGAGAGTGTCTTTGCAACTCCCTTGTTTGCTTTAAGACAATAACCAAAAAATAACCAGACTGCCTTCAATCCCATCCTGAGCT